GAAACGAGGCCACGTGGCACGACACGTGGGCAGGTAGTCAACAAGAAAGTCAAAAGAAGACCTAGTAGGTCAAACACACAAAAGTAGTCAAAAGGCCTAGGTCCTTACACAGCGTTTGAAGTCCTCACACTGCACGACCAGAAGTTGGGAAAGAAGCTGACGTCCTCCACTTGAAAACCATCTCGGATCTCTCCGAGGCACTCAATTCATCCGAGGCTCACAAAATCGACGTTGTTTCCTTGTAAAAGATTTGAGAATCTCTCCAGGATGATTGATGTAACGCTTGTAATTAAGTTGTCAGTGTGTCAACCTATTATATAGGACGGTTGACATCTTATCAATGTATTAATTGTATGAGTAAACAGTGATATGAAGCCATAGTTAGGGAGATGAGCCCACGTAGCTCCGATCCAACGATCACCACGTCGGTCAAGTCATTATAAAATTATAAATAGGTCCTCTTTGTAATGAAAAATGGGAGGAAAAATGAGAAAAAAAAAAAATCGGGACGATGCTATGTACAAAAATACACTTGGAACTCTTAAAAGAAAGATTATTATCATTTTATCTATCATTCCACATATTCTGATCCGTCATTACATATATTAGTTTTGGTTTCAACTCGGTAATCGTTGCTAGTGCGATTGGCTCCATTCCACCCGTCGGAGTTCGAACAATATTGTCTCTCGCCGCAAAGTATCTCCTGCGTCCCTTTCTTCATTGTTACCGTTATCATTCCGGTAGGAACGCGTCGAAACCATACTTGTTTTGGCGTGAGTGGGTCCGACATCTGTTGGTTTATTTTTTGGGGTCAACAATGTATGTTGCGTTATTGCATATTGTATGTTGTCATGCTCAAATCATAAATCATAAAAGGTCTGTTCGTTTTGGTTGGTTAATGTTGACAGTTCACAAATTATTTCAATCTGTATATGCTTCCCATTATTGTACTATTGCGGCTGATAGAACATTTTGTTCTTGGGGCTTTTTTGAGAGCGTCGAGTTGGTCAAAAGAATTCTTTGCTGTCTCAAATCAGACACTTTCGTGGAGACTTATTCTGAGGGTAAACAATTGAAGTATACAATGAATATGAACCCAACATGTAAACAATTGAAGCACTATCATCACTATAGACACTAACGTATGGGTCACTTTAAAAGGTCCAAAATTTGAGGTAATTTTTGCACCATTTTATACTAAATCTTGCACCAAATTAAAAATCATCTTCAACCATT